CCCTAAATTATAAAACAATAATATTTTATTAGGATTTGTGAAATCCTCTCTCTTGTTTCCATCTTTTTTTTGGGATATAAGGTTTTAGAAATCGATAACTTTGTTTGTTTCAAAACCAATTTTGGGATATCAAATCCCAAAATATTAAAAACTATTATATTTAGGCATTTGTGAAATTCTACACTTGAGAGAGGATGTGGGTTGGATATTGATGTATTAATGCTTATAATATAAGATTAATATAAGATTAATATATTATATATAATATTATAATAATATAATATTTAATATAATACATCTATATATATATATATAAAATTTAATATATATATAATATAATATATATATATATATATATATATATATATATATATATAATATAATATATATATATATATATAAACCAAATACGTATCATGTGTGTATATGATTAAGGCCTTTTAAAGCTACCAACACACATTAATATAAAACTAAACTTATAAGTTACCCAAGGCGGATGACTAGTACACTTACGGAAGAAGCTTGAACTTGTATCTTTAACTGGACTGTCATTGCCCTTCACTCCAACTTGATTTCGCAACCTCCATTGGATGATGATGCATTGAAGCTCTATCCAACTCATCCTCTAACATGTGTTGTTAATCTATAATAAATAAGAAAAACACGAAATACTAGACATAATACGAATTCATGGCTAATTGTTGTGAAACATCAGTCAAAACACAAGAGGCAACAGTCTCCCCGCTTTTATGAGACAAACAATTGTATAAAAAGATAATAGCCCATGAAGAGGAATAAATATATAATTAGAATTAATGATGCATATAAACAAAAATACTATACTCATAATCATTCTCCCCATTGACAACATCAGAAAGGGACAAAGGATGAAGAGAGCGAAAGCCCCGCCTACAATAAGTATGAGGCTGAGTTATAAAACAAAATATAGGGATTCTCGCCCATCAAAAATGTCTCGATGGGAATACATAAATAAATGCTAAAGCCAAACATCGGATGAGCAAGCATAATAAAAAAAATGCTAAATATAACCTCACACGACAGACAAGACAAGAAACATCACATAGAGATGTCATTATGAAATAATGTCTGCATTACACTAACATAAAAACCATGGTATATAAAGATTTATTGAAATCAAAAAAAGCAGAAAAAATTCATGCAAAATGTTTTCAAATGAAACAAATCAACGAAATGAAATCATAATCAGATTGAAGAACCCTAAAAATGATGTTTGATCAATAAAGCCAAAATTTCTTGCTAGAGCCGTGATCAAGCACACAAGATAGAACCATTATAAAGCATATTTGAATTTTGAATCATCTATTTTGTGTTATATAATGAATTTAAAGCAACAAATCAAAACAAAATTTTTGACAAAAGAGAAATGCAGAGAGGAAACAATATATCAAGCTTCTATAAGCTTGTTCGCCAGCCCATATAAAAATTATAGAACCTGGCTAAACAAGATTTGGGAATAAACACCCAATAAACCCGGGGGGGGTTATACTAAAACACAATCCTCTCATCAAAGATCGAGCTAATAATCATGAAAACAAAGAATGATCCAAAGAAAAATTTTTTCAGTTATTCATAAAAATTTCTGTAAGCACAATTTTCAAAACCAGAAAAAGAAAAACTAAATAAATTAAAATCTTAGTAAAAAAAGTAAAGTTGCTTTGTACTCTAAGTATTCTTGGTTACCAAGAGATTTAGCGGACATGACCCCTATCTTCAAGCTCAAAAGCCTTAGGTATGAACCGCTCTTGGCACATATGCGTGCACTAACACAGTCAAAGCAATAATCAACCTCCAAATAACCCTTTTAATTACAATTTGCTGCCAATAAAAAAATCAATTTGTTTTGGGACCATTAGCTCGTGCCACGGGAATAGTCGTGCACCAGTGAATCATTTGCAAATAAAGATTGTCTTTTAAAATTATGTTGCAGAATGAGAAACATTCTTAAACAATAGTCTATTTGGAACATATTCAACTAGAACGCTTTTGCATATCATAGACAAAATTTTGCAAGATGTCCAAAGCCTACAATAAACATCATATTTAAAGAATATGATTGCGTCTACTAAGAAACATTGGCAAAGGAGATTGATTTTTCAAGATCAGAACATATTCAGCGCAAATGACCAAAACGCCACAATGATCACATTTGACACACTAGCATGCTTATGATCCGAGACTTGTTGGAATGGAGCATGTGAACGTGCTATAGTGTTCAGATGAAGAAAACTACATGAGATGCACAAGAAGCATTAGATTTTATTTTGTGTGGCATCATAGCAAAATTTGGTGTAAATGCCGAATTTACGGGTCGCAAATAGCATTTGTAAACTTTGTTATATATGGGCTAATGAGGTAGATGATTTTGACTGTAACTTAGCAGCACATATCCATAAGCTCTTATGATTATTAATGCAGTTTTGCAAAGTGAAGCTAAAGATGAAATTAGCGGTTTAATATTGTTCAACTCATCATAGGACATATGCATTAACATTAGAAGTTGAACATAAATAGTCATTTATGAAAGAGCAATATCATTTTTATATGTTCGCTCTACTTCTAACATCGGCATCAATCGTTAGCATTAGATAGGTAGCAATTAATTGAGGTTAATTTATTTTCAAATTTAATAAGCTCTTGTTTCTTTAAGCATAGTATTTTCTTTTGCAATGACATCGAAATTTGTGTACTAGCCTTCTCATATCGGATTTTAAAAATAACATCGCTTGCTTGTAAATCAATTAAAATCTTTACGCCAATTGGATAAAGGCATGCAATAATTTTTTGGGAAGCACAAGCAAGTCATCCACGATAGATAAATTATGTATGGATTCGAACTCGCAAACCTCACTTAGGCCTATCGCCTAGTGCGCGTGTGCAATGACGCATCCTTTTGAACTGAACCTGGATCCCAAAGCCTTAGTCGGGATCGCCTCCAAGTCCGCTTGATGTGCTCAATAAGTTTCTATAAGGTGTAAGCACTTATCAAATGAATAAACTTGCTTAGACAAAAGATGAATCAAATGGCATTATGTAAGAAGTGTCCACAAGAGGCTCTGTTCATAATAACTAATCTTTTATCATTTTTATTCACATTGGATTTACTCCAATGTGGGCATAATATAAGCTAAATCAAGGACTTCCATTAAACTTGTATTTTAGATTGAAACAACATATTTTGAATCCTAAAACAGCCATTGAGCGATAAGGGATAAAAACAGTTGAATTTATGCAGCAATATGAATCATAGCTAAACAAGATGCATCATCATATCCATAATTTTATAAAAATATGCCAAGGCAAGATCAAATACATAAAATAAGATTAGCAAGAAAAGATAACTTGGATCTTTAACTCAAGCGTGAGGACTGGTTAAATCAAAGAGCTACCAATCTCTATACCAATTGTTAGATCCAAGAGGGGTGATTTAGGGTCTGTATGATAATCTAATCGTTTTTACAAGTAAAACTAATTCAGAATATTATTCTTACAAGATAGTATAGACAATGGTGATATGAGCAAGAATAGCAATGATGAACAAAGAAAAATATTCCTAGCCAATTGAATATACTACGAATATATCACGAATTACAACTTAACACAAAGGTGAAATTAAACATAAACATAAACAAGATGATAGGTGAATTAAACAATACAGCACACAAGGTATTGATCACGGATTCGGACCTTCCGCCTACGTCTCCGCTCCCCACTCCGGGGAGAAATCCAATTTCACACCGGTTTTCTAGGCTGAATAAGCGTTTACACTGCACAGATGTCGTTTTCAACATTCACGATCAACGTTCAGACCACTCACAATGTCGGTTTTCAACCGGCTCAGGCGAATCAATCGTTCACTCCTCACACCCGCGGTTGGTTTTAGCTCACCGAAAACTTTAAACACAACAGTTAACAACAAATATCTTCTCGTACAATAGATGAGAACTCGAATTAAAAGCTCACACTCAATTGTTACACTCTCACCAACCTAAATATAACGTAATATGGAAATACAATAAGCTCAAGTGGCCAGGGTTGTAACAATGACAGTGAAATAAATATCCAAAAACTAAATGCAAGATAAAACTAGCTTTAATAAGGATGATAATCAAATAAATAGATATAACTGCTGAAATGGCTAGTTTAGAAAACTTTCTCAATAGATCAAGAGTAGCAGGAGAAAGGATTGGAGCGACTCAACACCAATGACGTTGATCCTCTCAATCTGTGAAATTGATATCATTAAACAAGCTTTGAAATTTGCCTAGTGGGACCCTGGTTTGTTTTCAAATCCCCACTTCGATGCACATCGGATTTCACATGCGGATGTTGAAATCCAATAAACTTTTTGGTTAGTTTTGGGTTCTAAACAATTTTATATAATATTATAATATATAATTTATAGTATTCCAAATCCCAAAATATTGATGAAACAAACAAAATATTACAAGTTTTAGCATTCCAAATCCCAAAATATTGTTGAAGCAAACACAACCCCCCTTATGGATTTCAAATCCTAAAAGCCACATCATTTATGGATTTCAAATCCCATTTTGAAATCCCAAAAAAAAAATCAAAACAAACACCACCTAAAGGTACGCAATAATTGGGAGAATAAATAGATCCAGAATGACTCCCCTACAACCCCCTTATGGATTTCAAATCCTAAAAGCCACATCATTTATGGATTTCAAATCCCATTTTGAAATCCCAAAAAAAAAATCAAAACAAACACCACCTAAAGGTACGCAATAATTGGGAGAATAAATAGATCCAGAATGACTCCCCTCAAAACACGACTGTGAATGTAATTTAGGTGAAGAAAAGAACAGAATAAATAGTTTATAAAACCTCAACCCTCCAACATTCTGAGTTTCTGATACCCCAAAAAAGTGACGGAAAAAATATCAATAGATTTAAAAATCAATCTGATATAAGAATTCAAACTTAAAACTGATATATAAAGTGCAATCAAAAGTATTCAGCCTTTCAGAAACAATATATCAAATACACAGAAAGATACTAATACATTGTCAATCCTTTCAACATTACATAACACACAAAGAAGATTCAAAAGCTGACGAACGATAACACTATCTAAGCTACAACCTAACATATCAAAGGCGAACTTACCGATAAAAAAAACTTGCACTGAATCTAACTCTTTGGAGAAGCCTTGTTCACTGACCCAGAGCCGCCCGCTGGAGCTGTCTACCACCCTCACTACCTCAAGCCGGGGCTGAGCAATACCACCCACTGCATAAGAATGCACCATAAGACTTGTTGTGCATAACCAGCCGAACCCATAATGGGACCTGCTGGTATGTTTGCCCGTAGCTTGCTTGCGCTGGTGCAGGATAACCAGCTTGACTGGAGGGCGGTTGCCCATAAACAGGCAGAGTTGCTGGTGGCTTCTGGCCTTGAGGAGACTGTCCATAACCAGGTTGAGCATATCCCTGCTGAGAAATTGGGGGCACGCCATACCCTGATTGAGAAGTTACCTGAGAGGGATAGCTCGGTGGATTACTACTTGGTGGTTGACTTCCATACCCTTGTTGGGTTGGAGAAGGTTGTACAGGAGCAGCAGGCTGAGGAGGAGTCGATCCATCTTTAGCAGGATTCGCTGTATTTCCGGCATAAGCCGGAGCAGATCCATAAGATTGTTCATACCCAGCTTGGGTGTTAGATGTTGGCTGGGAGTATCCACTCTGAGTTGCTTGAGCATTATAACCAGCAGCAGCATAGTTGTCCTGTCCATAACTTTGCTGCTGTCCAGATTGATAGTAAGAAGCACCACCATAAGTTTGCTGACTGTAATTGTAGGCTGGATATCGAGGTGCCGATGTGGAGAGGCGGCGGCAGCGGGCTGCTGCTGCTTAGTTGCTTGTAGTAATCATAACCAGTTCCAGGATTAGTTTGTTGAGTTCCTTGTGTGGAACTTTGATCCCAACCAGAAGAATATCCAGCATATGCGGTAGCAGGTTGAGGTGGGTAGCCTCCATATGGAGGTTGTGAATACTGAGGGTAGGCTCCAGGTTGTTGCATGTAGTTATATCCTGGTTGCTGCAATTGAGGTTGTCCAGGCGGACCCCAGCTTGGAGGTTGAGGAGGGCGGTAGCTTTGCTGGGGATTCCTCAAACGAACCTATACAGAAAATGTTGGTATACGAACTTATAATATTTCCATACATAATGGAGAAGGGAACATAATTTACATAAACAGAAAAGGTAAAGAAGCATTTAACAGAAATAAAATTCAATGTAAAATCAGGTTCCAGGCTTTGAAATGCAAGTTTCACAACAAAGAAAACACGCACGTACCACAATGGGGAACTGTTTCAAGCTACATCAGCGGGATGCCAATCCTCTCCCAGTATAATAAAACTAATTAGGGATGACGAACACTACAGACGCATTTATAATGGAACCATCTATTGCCAATGAAAGGGGAGCTAAATAATTTGTAGTAATGCATTGCAATATATCCGAATACTTTGCATTTAATCGGGGTGTGTGTTTTACTATATACAGAAAGACCATGAAATCACGAAGCATTTGCTATTAATCAAATGGAATGACAGCTGCTTCATTATTGAAGGGAAACACACGTACCATAATTATGGAGGGAACTGTTTCCGGCTACATCAGTGGATGCCGATCCTCTCCTAATTCAAAATTAATTGGAACAATGCCAAGCTAGACATGTAATATATTTTGCCAAAGAAAGGACAAGAGAATAATTTGAATTATATGGACAACAGCACAAAATTTGCCAAACTTCATCTCTCCCTAGTAATAAGATGATATAACGTTTGTATATGCCTTCTAAGCAGCGAAATTTGAGGTATCTCAATCAAAATATCAAATAATTACTGTAGGAGTGGAGGTTCAAGACCATACCCGTATCAAGCCATGAAAGACAACCAACTGCTTGCCTACAGACCTGCAATGTGTTGGGACCACCAACACAAACTAATCCTACAATAGCCCTCAATAACAATAAGCTCAAATATTCATAACATTATCAGCATTTATTCCTCATTATCATCAAATATATGATCAAAATAATCAGCTCTAGCCTATGACTTTGTAATTGGATATGTGCATAAGAATCCCAGTAACACAACCTACAAACCACAAACTTTAATAAAGTGATTCTCAAAGGAGAGAAGGAACTGAGAACTATTACATTGACAGATACTTCCAATAATATAATTGTTTAAAGGATACAGTTTCAAGATTCAAATTTCTGCCATGATTAATACAAATATTAGCTGGAACAGCACTAATTACATATTATGAGAAAGAATCAAGCATCAAAATATTTAATATCACATGTGCTCATGACAAGATGAGATACTGCGTCAAAAGAACTAAATTACAAAACCTTAAAAAAATTGTAAAGTCAATATGTATATGTTCTCATGATAATGTCACATACTTTTCTTTTCCTACGAATATATGATTAAAGAAAAAAACCCTATATAAAGTAAACGAATTTGGTCAGATCTGCAAGAAATCCGTATTTTCGACTCAATTGCTATTGGAACATGGCCAAGCAAGAAAGATGATCACTCTTTAGCAGACCTGGAATACCATATCAACTCTCGATGCTAGACCAGATGCTTGAAAGTTACTTATTCAGAGGGCTATATGGTATCTCATACCAAACATCTATCTAGATATTGTTCAAAGCTACCAACTTAAATACAAAAATAAATCCGTATTTTTGACTCGATTGCTATTGGAACATGGCCAAGCAAGAGAGATGATCACTCTTTAGCAGACCCGGAATACCATATAAAAGCTATCTAGATTTTGTTCAAAGCTAGCAACTTAAATATAAAAATTAACCACTCTTAGCATAAATTGAAAACAAGGTGCAGAAAGTAAAATTATTACAATTTCGATCACCTGGACCCCACAACACCTAGGAAGGACAACAGACACTTTACGGAGAAAAAAACCCTAGCAAAATAACAAGATGCAACACTGTAAAGCCCAAATCTGGGCTAGCAAATATTATTGATAGCAGTTAGTGACTATGACAGAAGACAGCTATCCCTAAAAAAAGTAAAATCATAGTGTGGCAATGGGTTGATAGTGATTATACCTGCCAGGATATAGGATTATCATTATAAGACACATTAGTTTAGGATTCCATAAAAAGTAGCAAACCTCCAAATCCTTGCGGTGAAGCTTCATATCTTCTAAAAGATCATTGGGTTGAAGTAAAGATACAGGATACCACTGCAATGAACTAACTATTTCCCAAAGTTCCAACCATTGAAATTGAAAATTTAGTCAAATGTCCAACAGGATAAATAGATAATACCAATTCCTGTGTTACAAAGTGATGAATGTGGCAGACTAAATATGACAATGTCATTAAAGCAAGTTCCCATTCAAAACTAACAGTTTAGATAGCCAGAAACAAACTGGCGAACCTCCAAACATGAATATTCTTATCACATATTGTAATCCACAGAACCAATAATTATCATATATATAAATAATTTTAATATATATATATATATATATATATATATAATATATATAGTATATATATATATTATATATATATATGAGGAAAACGGGAGGTGAGCTGCCAGCGGTAGCGAAATTTCCTTACGCTGCAAAGTGCTATGACATGTGGAGCCCCCCACTAGTCACATCGGCTGGCGGCTCACATGTCATACATGTGCAGCGTAGGAAATTTTCCTACGCCTGCCAGCCTCACCTCCCGTTCTCTCTCTCTCTCTTCTCTCCCATATATATATATATATATGATATAAATATATATATATATATATATATATGATATATATATATATATATATATATATTATATATAATTAGTAATATATATATATATATATATATATTATAAACACATAACATCATTGTGAAAAACAAGACATTAATATAAGAATGGAAAATAAGGGCCTAGGGAGAACCCATACCTCACCGCTCACAATCTCATTGACTAGTTTTTTCGCAGCTTCTATTTGTTCACTGGTACCTTCTATATGCACCGTTCTTTCAGTGGATGTATCACCAGGAGGCAGGTGCAAAGGTATAACCTGAAACGAATAGCAATGGAGTCAAAACACAAGTATCATAAAACTAAAGCAGAAATGCTAAGACAATGGCAAATACCCAAAACAAAGTACAAAAACATAAACACACATATGCACGAGCGCACATACACACACACACACACACACACACATATATATAAATATAAACACACACACACACACACATATATATATATGCGTGTGTGTATAGAGAGAGAGAGAGAGAAAAAATGGGTATGCTTGGTACCAAACACAAGTTTTTGTGCTTGGTAGTGAGGTGACATATTCCCCTCCACTCATTGAAATCGGGGCCCACATTCACATGGGTTGGGGAGTGGTTGGGAATTGGAATGAGTGGATGGGAATATGACACCTCACTACCAAGCACAAAATTTGTGCTTGAGCATACCCATTTTTCTCATATATATACGTTTGGCGCGCGCGCACACACACACACACATGCATGTATACACACACACACACACACACACACACACACACACACACACACACATACATACATACATACATAGATAGATATGTGTGTGTCTATACATATATGTATGTGTCATACATATATATGCACGCGCGCGCGTGTCTATATACACACACACACACACGCACACACACACATACATATATATTCATATACTCAAGAATAAGCAAAAAAAATAAAAACCTTGTGCAGTTGCCAGTGAGCAAATAATCAAAATAAATTTTAAACAAAGAACATAAAAACATTTGAAATGGCTTTCCATGGGAGGAAAGGACCAGTATGATGAGGAACATAACACAAGCATTCAGAGAAAGGAAGCAAAGAATACAACAATGTATAAAGAATGTATTAGAAAATGGAATAACCCGCTTTATTGAAAAAACATTTGAGTAAGAAACACCATTAGTTACTTCTCAAAAGGAAGCTAGCAATTTAGTTATAACGAAAATTATGACAAGCTGAGAAAAAAGGTCAAACACATTCCTTACAGCAAACCATGAACACTACTGAAGCAAATAAATTCAATAACTACCTTGGATAAAACATAGAAGTAATTTATGCCAGAAGCTTAAATACGAAATCTGATGATTAGAATAACGCAAAACACACTGCAAGATATAAATTGTTACTAAACATTGTCCTTCAGAAACAAAGGGGCGTCCATTGACAGAAAGTAGCATATATATGAAAAAGAAATAAAGGTCAGAGTCAAAATAAAAGAGTGAAGAGGAAAAGTAAGAAGCATTCCACGTGTTTATGTGACTTTATATAAAAGAAATTAAAAGAACAAAAACAGCAGAGCATTAAACCTAGTACATATCAGTCTTAGTCAAATTTAATACACCGGGCAACTTGAATTAGTACAGTCTCAACTTTTCTATCACACATTAAACAAAACATCACAAGAACTCTTGATTAAGATGAAGATTAGATAACCAAATTGCGATATTGAATTATAAGCTGCAGTTAAGGGATCGTATACACAGACATAATAATTAGAGAAATAAGACACATCATCAAATGCATGAAATATTGCCATGAGATGAAGCCAAATGCAGGAAGTAGTAAACCAAGCATTTATAAAAAATTTCAAAAGAAAAAACACAACCTGGACACGAGCTCCCGAGTTAGCTTGCATGCTTTTAATTGTCTCACCACCTTTACCAATTATAAGACCAACCTAAGAGAAGCAAGCAAGCATGCAATTTACTTAAATGAGATAGAAACATAAGTTTATAAATCTAAGCATAGGCATGTATATCCTGCTATTATGCCTTGTTATTAGGAACTTTCATGGAGAAATGTTCAGCGCCAGGTTGATCTCCGCCAAATTTACGACCAGAAACAATTCCAGAACTCCCAGCATCAGCCTACACCAGATGTCATGTTAACAGAAAGTGCAAAAAGCAATCAAAACGAAACTATAAACAAGCTATCAGCAACTAGGGAGCTAAAGTAATCACACAACGCATACCTCTGCAAGAACTTCATTAATTAACTGCTCTGCCCTGCTTATCTGTTCAGGTGTGCCAGTGATTTCTACAGGTCTAGTCTGCGAATTAGGATCAGCATCCATGTCTCTAGTCACTTGAATTTTGGCCCCAGATTGTTGCTGGAGAGTCTTAATTGTCTCACCAGCTTTACCAATGATAACTCCAACCTGAAAAAAAAGAGAGGAACAGGCAGAAGATAACTGATTAAAATAAGAGAGAAAACAAAAAAAACCGACAGTCTCAATGCAATGATGCATATTTGCCGATGAGAATGTATAACACAAAGCTCAGCACCCTTCCATTTGGAATGTCAATCTTCTTGCTATTGCCATAGCCATACGAAGAAAACGATGCAGGTTGAGCGAGGGAAGACATTTGACTGAAAGGCTTCTGCATATGATCTGAATAAGAGAAATGATAGAGTTAAATCAAATAACAGAAGTAGTAAATTTTCCAAAAATTTGGAAATATTCATATAATAGAACCAAAAATGTTATCCTTGTTTAAGAAGAAAGCAATATAAGATAAAATAACATGAATCCAAATAAAAAATTAGATCTTGCACTGTGATATAATGAATGTCAGAGTAGACCACTAACGCATCACGCAAAAGGGTGATCAAATGCTAGAAACAGAACAGAAGTAACAATCAAAAAGTGACAAATCGAGAACACTTTGCGATCGACATCTATATACAATCCAACTTTATTCATGGTACCCTGATTGCTAAAAAGACAAGAAAGCAAATTGTAAGAAACAATATTTAGAAATCAAAATCTCCCTGCTAAACAGAGGAATCCCTGTGAAGGAGACCATTCAAAGGAGAAATATAACTACCATTCCTTTTGTTAAAGGTGTGGGAGAATTAAAACTATATTACCAGGGAAGAACAAATAAAATACTACAGACACAATTAAACTCCATCAACTAACATCAATAGCAGTATCATTCTCAACAACAACGGCAGTAGATCAGAAATATAACTTCTACACAATAATTCTAGTTAGATAACTAGATGAAATGGTACTTCTCCAGCTGAAAACCCTAATCATAAGAGGCTAACCCCACAAACCCAAGCGTAGACATTGAAAAATCCGTAGGCAATGAGATCGGTAATTTTTAACACGAGATCGTCAAAACAAGATCCCAAGCAACCAAATCCCGTCACGAGTCAAATAACCCGTGAAGATACACGCAACACGGAACCAAGTCATCAGCAACAGTAGATCCAACCCCTAATCGGCGAAATCGGACACTATGCCCTTAAAGATCAAATTTTCGCCTAATCTAACACAATCAGAAATCATAGCCAACACTGGAAACCTACTAGACGAGAAAAATAATCACAAACCGTCGGCAGCGGCGCCGTTGTCGGCCCTGGGTCGCTTGGCCTCGGATTCGCTGAAGAGTTTTGCGGCGATCTCCTGGGCTTTGAGCTTGGCCAGCTGGATCCCATCGAGAGGGGGAGGGACGCTGTTGTATGAAGGCGGAGGAGGAGGAGGAGGAGGAGAGGGGTCGTCGAACTTCCGCTTGTTGTCGGGTCGAGAAGAAGAGAACTGGGACTCGTCCGCCATTGGAGGGTACGGAGTTTCTGTGATTGGGGATTCTAGGGTTTGAGATTTTGGAGAATAGTCGAATAGATTGGGGAGAGGGGCGCCGGGGGGAAAGGGAAACCCTAGAATTGGAGGCGAATCCAACTAGGGAGAGAATATATGATGGACAAATTTTCAAAACCAACCCATTTAGAAATTTATTATTGTCAAAAAACGACCCTATTTAAACAAATTTGCAAAAACCGACCTGGTTTCAGCCTCTGCGCTGAAACCAGGTCGGCTTTTAAAAAAAAATTCGAAACTTCACGGGAGTTGAACTCCCGTGAAGCTTACCAGCTTTTAATTAAGCTGCTAAACTTCACGGGAATTCAACTCCTGTGAAGTTTCACAATTCAAAAAATTTATTTTTGAACTAAGAAACTTCACGGGAGTTGAACTCTCGTGAAGTTTAGTAGATTAATTAAAAGCTTCTAAACTTCACGGGAGTTCAACTCCCGTGAAGTTTCAAAAAAAAAAATTCAAAAACCGACCTGGTTTCAGCGCTGACGCTGAAACCAGGTTGGTTTTTGCAAATATCCTAGAAACGGGTTGTTTTTTGCGAATAAAAACTCAAATGGGTTGGTTTTGAAAATTTGTCCAATATATGATGATGTCGGCTATCGATGAGGTCGTTTACGCCTTTACGGTTTACGATTTGATTTACCGGATGCTGCGTGTTTGACCTAATTAAGCCCGAGATAAATTGATGGGCTAGCCGAAGCGATGAAAATGGACCAAAGCGCTTTAACATTAAAAAGCGGCTCAATTGTACTTCAATATCCTATTGTTTCCCTTACTTCTCACTTGTATACCTTGCTTGGTTTTTGGCAGCATTTATATATTCTACAATTTTTAAATTTTACATTTATATTTCCTATATTTTCATAATTTGTACTTACGTGTCATCAGTTATGCAAGCGCGAGAATTTCCCTCTAAAAACTCTCATGCAACACTCATATGCTATTTTAGAGCTTTCATTAACCCTTTACTTTTGTTAAACTTATTGTTAAAACTATTGCAATTGTATTTCGAACATACTCTAATTCTATTTTAACAATAAGTTTTGGCTCTGTCTAATACTTTAACAAATATTAAGACCTAAAAAGTATTCTAAGATTAGTATATGGGTGTCGCATGAGAATTTGCGTAACTGGGACATTTAAGTGCAATTCTCTTTCTTTTTCCCCTTTTTATTTATTTATTTATGAAAAATAATGGAACCTCCCGAAAGAGGCTCTGGCTACCTTCATTCAAAATTTAGGCTGATTACAAAATGTCAACCACACACTCTAAAAGTGTGATCACATAGTCAAGAGATTCTACTCATTATAAAGCAACACCACAACATCAACAAACTAAAACCACATTCTACTAGTGGGAAACTATATACAATAAAATTTTAAAAACTTTAAGATATTTAAATGCATATTTTTTTGTCGATGTTAAATAATCAAACATCTAAATATATGAGGGTGAGGTTGATTAGGAGCTGGTCACTTCTCTGAATATCTTGTTTTGAGTTGAGTAGCTTTCAGTCTGCACAAATAGCAACACGTGACAGGACGAGGCTTAGTTCCCCCGTTGTATTTCCGACGATCAAGTCAACTAGTGAACTTGAGTGAGAAAATGAAGAACTACATAAGTTCTTTAGTATAGTGCAGTATAATTAGCAGATATTACTTGGAAAAATAGCCTGAAAATGGCTTAGAAATTGCTAGGAAAAAGAATCTTTTCAGAAAAATATCTTCTCTATGTTGAGAATAGTACTTCTATTTGTGGTGGTGCTGAAAGGGTAGACCGTCATTTCGGCCGAACACAGGATAACAGTAAATAAGTATGGACTGGTGGCTGCGTCAGCACCTACTTTACACGTGCTGGTCGGCGAGTGAATGAGAGATCACCTCAGCATTAAATGAGAAGTGATTGGAGATACAGCGATGCTGACGTGGTCTGATGAGTCATTAAGATGATTGGGGCTAGAGGTATGATGTGTCTGTCAAGCATTTAATGTGACGCCAACATGCTGTCAGTGGGAGAGGCTCGAGGCTGGAGTCGTCTTTTAGCTTGGCTGAGAAGCAACGCCTTTCGAGTCGACCTTGCGAGGCGTCGAATAATTGGTCGAGTGGGCTCGTAGCGAGTCGTCTTCGACAAGAGGACCAACAAGTACCGTCATTCGAGTTGATCTAAGGAGATGTCGACTCGGCGTATCGGCTAAGTTGAGATTCTTGGTTGTTTTGACCGTCAATCTGGTTTGAGTGGTGCATGTAGGGGGGACACATGTCCGTTGCTGAAAAAGGGTCGTACTTTAATGACCGAAAGCACCATAACATTTTTAAATTTTAGGGTGTATAAGTGCGAAGTTGTGAAAATAAGGTATTTAAGTGCAATTAGGCCTATGAGTATAAAGAAACCAAAAGGTTCGCACTTCCCACAAAGGAAAAGTAAACTTTTCGAAAAGAGAGTAAGAATATTAAAAATCGACTCTGTTAGAATACGAATCATGATGATTTTCTAATCGCCTCCGCTGTCTTCGAGTAGGAGGCTTTATGAGATAACACGGGATTAATATGCCATACACTTTAACTTCTTTGAATGCGAGGCTTTATGTGATTATAATGGATTATATATCATACAATTTAACTTAAATTTTACATCCCTTACAAATTATTAAGCTCTTTTCCACACAGTTCCTAAGTCCTCGGCCAACTCCTATGGCTAAATTCGACGAGTGGCACTAGGAGCACACCCCCAACCATAACTCTAACCACATCCCCCTCTCTTTTCCCCCCTCTTTTGCTACAGTACACCGGGCCTCACATAGAATTTTAAAAATTTAAAAGCTCATGCGGGGCCTGATGTACTGTAGCAAGAGAGAGAATGGGCGTGGTTAGAGTTGTAATTGAGAGTGTGCCTCTACCACTTTCCTAATTCAACGAGCATAACCTATAGATTTTAGGTCCTTTTCACTCAGTTCCCTGTAGCACCATAAGTTGCTAGATTTCATAGAATACATAAATAAATGCTTTGAACTCCGCAGAGAACAGAAAATAGAACTTGATAAGCGAAATCCTTCTCATTCCCACAAACAGATAATTTTTCAACGCGTGTCACCAAAAATGGTGTAAATAGAAGGATAGCTCTCTCAAATCATTGCAAAAAACCTAGAAACACAGGTCATAGCAACAAATTCTACTACAGAGCATCCGGGCCCAGCGCAGTTTTGCGCTTTTTCTTAATTACAAACCTAGTTACCATACATGACACTATGCCTAAGCTAAAACAAAATGCCTTCAAACTCAGTCAGATGAGCGCACAGAACTGAAAACGCATGAAGCCGGACATACAAAATAAATATTCATAATTGAAAATCCTTGTCATTTTCACATACAGATTCTTCTTGTTAACAGGAAATCAATACCCCCACAAAGGGTGCAAACTAAAAGCAGCAAGCTGGAATACACCAAACAGTACTACCTCCAATAGTATAACAGAAAGGGGAATCGCTCTCCCAAATCATTCCAAACAACTCAGTAACATGCGATATGTTGAGCACTTGCTCTTTATTGCAACACAACGCAAAACACAGCAGAGATACGGTAAAAAGTCCAATGTACCTTTCCCCCCCCTCTCCCTTCACTTGGTCCACCAATGTAGGAAGTCCTTCCTCCTGTTGATCTTCTTCTGCAGCTGCAAAATGCCGTAGAGAAGAGCCTCAGCAGTAGGAGGGCATCCGGGCACGTAGATGTCAACCGGAACAATTCGGTCACAGCCACGAACAACAGAGTACGAGTAGTGATAATAGCCACCACCATTTGCACAGCTTCCCATGGAGATAACCCAGCGTGGCTCAGGCATCTGGTCATAAACCCTGCATATCAAGTGAAGTGGTCATAAACACTGCCAAAATGAGCTTAATCACCTTTGTAACTCAAGGTCAATGAAAAACAGATTGAACACCAGGATGTCACCCTCCAAATCTTGGAGATAAAAAGATAAAGAAAAATGAGGGTGATATATGCATTATAGGACGAATCAAACAAAATATTTTCATAAATATTTTCATGGAACATTAAAGACTTAAAAGTTGAAGATTCTGCCTGCTAGCCAATTCTCATCTATGACATAGAAGGAAATTATTAATATTAACTCGTAAGTTTCCAATTAGATGTCTGAAGTCATATTTTTTGAACTTTCAAATAAATAAACAAGGTTTCACAGCAACAGAAAGTTGGAAACTCATTTATGCCCATGAGATGGTCTGTATTGAATAGCATCAAACGACATCATAATTTACAGTGAGTGTTGTGTTCCAATTGGCAATTAAGAGAGAGACAACTTAAGAGATTGGGTAAATCACTTGAGCTATGAAACCAAGTATAATTGCGACCCCTTTTGTATTAGAGAGTTTCTGTGGAAAGTTGTCGAAAAGGAATTAATAATAAACTATTTCTTTGTGTTCACTTTCTCTACTTTCTCTACTAAACAAGTGGCATTGGAGCATGCTCCCAGGGACCGCCTCTTCTGCAACAATGACCCTCTCAGTATTCGTGAAAGCAAAAGTTTGTGCACAGTCTAGAACTGTGAAGTTGATTGGTCAAGAACCAGGCCTTCGTGGGAACGTTAAGCAACTACCACATCATGATGGCAGATCTAGCAACACTACTACTACACTCAGGAAGCTCAAAGACAACGTCTATATCTATTAAGAGACTCGTGTGACATCTTATGTGCAAGGTCAGGATCTCTGGACGGTTATCGGGATTATCGAAATCTCAACACCTCACATAACAGGCAATGCACTACGAAAGTGAAACATCAAGGCCTCAAAGCTATGTACGTGCTCAAGATTGTGGTAGAGAAGATCATGTAGAGTATATTTGAGATGCCAAAAGCTCTGAGGGAGGCATGGGTAATGGTAATTATAGGTACAAACTCTACACTACTTTCGCACTACAAGACAAGAAAGTTGGATCCTTAGAGACTCATAATTTCTAACAGCAATTTGGGACAAAGGCAACACATTTTGTGTCTTGTAGTACAAAAATAGTATAGAGTATGTAATATAGTTAGCATTCCCCTTTAAATTTTAGAGAATTTGAATGGAAAATGAATGGGAGGAGAGACAGAATAGTATTTTATTCTTTCTTCACCTTCTCATTCATAAATGTCTGCTTCTATGGGAACTAAAGAAAACATAGGGAATGACCCGTCAGATGTCACCTAAACTTTTGTTTTGCTCTCTAGCATTTAAACAAGATGAATAAATAAAAGAACTGAGAAAGTACTTTCTCCTTCTATCGACTTCCATATATATTCAGTTGCTTATCAGACCCTAGAGGAAAGTGATCACATGTAGTCAATCCCTCTCCACTACTCTTCCAATTACATTCTATGTTCCCTCCCTCTTCATTGTTTGTAGCCATAGAGGCCTTACCATGAAATGAACACTATTATCCATGACACACAATAGATCCAGAGGAAATGGAAGATCAATCAGCACACTTAAGGACGAAATTATCTCTAAACACAAAATCAAAACCCTACAACCTATACTACCCCTAAGTCCTAAACAAAATAATAATAATAATAATATCTCTCACCCATTATTCGAGTGATCGCAAAACATACATCTTCAATAATAGATTTAATTGAAATATTTTCAGTTCTTCAACAATTGACTTCCCCCCACCCTTCAACTACCAGCAATTGAAAACACGCGTGCACACATGGAGAGAGTGTGTTAGTTTCTTTCTTTCTCACCTTTTTCTCCCCCAGTCACCTTTTCCTCTCTTTTTAAGTTTTTATTTATCCTTCATTGAATTTCCTATGTAACTTCAAGGACGTAATATTTGCATGAGGAAGTCTAATTCTTGCTAATAATTTGGAACTCTCCTTTTTTTTTACTTTAAACTTATCTCCAACCCGTGGGAGCTAAATTAGCATATTCAGAACTAGTGAAATATAGGAAAGTCATTCCAATCACAATCATAATATTAAGTCTCAAAGAACGAAGCATAGATAAAGCGTACTAAGCAACAATAGTACTACTCCAGAACCATCCATATGTCAGAACTATAGTGTCAAGTTAAATTTTCCAAAAGGTCATAGGATTCAGTAAGTTCAATTTCTATAGCAACTTTGAATCAATCAACGAGCTTCAACATTTGCAAAACTAAATGGTTCAAAAAAAGTTAAGACTCTAAACAGCATAAACAACAGAGCAATGATTCTAAAACATTTTGGTCCAATAAAGTGACCAGAACGGCGGCAAAATATTGATCAGTAACTAGTAATGACTAAAAAGTTGAAATTTATCGGCTTAATCTTCCCACCACCATTCCAGCACAACAGACAGAAAAGGCAGGAGAAAGAATACAAATAATTATAATCTAACATAACCTTTGACTTGGAAGCTATTAGAGCATAGCATTCGACTTGCTTGGATTAACCCATCCTTTAACTTTTGTAACATAAAAACTACAATGCCTTATCTAGTGTTACATTGCTTTAATTACCTACTGCCAATGCAATATGTTTTGCTCGATGCAATTTTTTTCTTCTTCTTTTGAACATAGATATTGGTTCTATTATTAAGGATCTTGACTTTTACAATCAATAAACAGACAACCCTAGGGAAATGTTTGTGCAAGGGTCTCCATGAAACTTACGAATGTCTATTGGTTTGCAAATATCAAGAATAATACATAGTTTACAGTTTATGAGACGGGTTTTGAGAACTTAGAAAAAACAAGAGTTAGAAGAAAAAAAAAAGAATGATACCACCTTCACTTATTCCTATGCAATTGAAAATACACCATATTGAACAAGAAATTGCATAGTAATAAATGAAGGTGTAGGAAAGTATGGAAAAAAGAGAATTTTGAAATACATCTAAGATGGCGTGTGTTTTTCAACCAAACTTACAAAGAGGATAATGTGAACTGAAGGGGAGAACAGAGTTGACACGAGAAATATCAATAAATGAATAGTCTGTGCGATGTATAGAAGAGGTAACAGATGCTTTATTAACAACAAATGAAGAAATAGCATAAGTGAGAAAGGAATACATCACGGTAAAATAATCATTTTTACTAAAAATGAGGAAGAAATAGCATAACAAGTGAGAAAGGAATACATCATGGTAAAATAATCATTTTTACTAAAAATGAGAAGAGTGATAGATGAAGGCATGAAGCTAATTGCAAGAATTTCAACACTCGTGCAATGAGATCCATCAAGGAAATTTAGATGTGGCTGATCACTGTAATTAGCAGCTTATCAGCAGTCAAAGAGGAGGACAAATGAACAAATGTAAAGCATCCCTCATTATCATTATCTAAGATTTTTCCATAAAAACTGGGTCACTCTCAAAAGACAAATCTAATAAAATTTTATAAACAGCCCAAAACATCATGTTAATATCAATTCCAAATTCCTAGCAGGGGTGTGGGAGGATAATAGTTGCTAAGAAAATCATTTAACAGCTGAAACTCCAGCATTATTGTTTATGTAGCTATAATTCAAACAGCAAAGAATTATTTGTCAGAAGTTCTTCTTTAGATTATAAGAACTAACAAGCCTAGGACGCAGAAAATGATGATTTGCTATAAAGAACTAGGTTCCCACCTTAAGTCATAGGAAAAGCATCTCCATCAATCAGATAGCATAAATTAATGATTTTACCACACACATTTCTCAAAAACAAACAAACTTTTCACATCCAATTACCAAATTAACAATAAGAACACAATGGATGCAAAAATTAGACTTCCAAATTTGTTAGTATGAAGTGCAAATAGTAGTAGATCTAGGGGATCGAAGCCTGAGACAGAACTGACATGAAGCAGCTAAGGATTTTCTTAAAACTTTAATTCTCTTAAGCAGGTAACAAAAACAATTTGCTGACAAAATTCTTATGCAAATTGTTCCAAAATAAAGAATTTATCATCTACTAGTCTACTACTATCAAGACTGTGTTTGGCTCTCTTGAATGGAGATAAACACTGTCCTACCACCAGCACTGGAAATTTTGAGATCGTAGGAGAACTAACACAAAGCACATAAGCTAAATCTCACTCATAATCAACACAAATCAAACTTACTCAACAAAAGGTAAATTGCTCAAATAAAAACACAATATTTACCAACAAAAGAGGGAAAAGCTTGAGATTCCAAACACAAGGATCATCTTATTCATCAAATGTATTGACGTGCAATGTAAACTTCTTCAGTTACTATCACCTTCTTCCAAAATATTTACCAATATGCATATCGTTTTACTATGGTCAACTTAAGGTATATGATAGAAAACAACGGTAACCAAGAATTGAACTAATACAACTAA